TTTGCGTTCAAAAGAATTTAAAATCCACTCTCATACACACCCCAGGCCTTAAATACGTACGTCAGTTTAAACTGGCACCATGCCAGCACGAGAATTAATATGAGTAGGAAGCTGTAGAGGGCATAATTTTTTTATGATGCTGTTTGCTATCCACTGAAGTACTCGTGAAAGTGAATCAACCTTTTACACCCTCTGCATCTCACCTGTAGGCATGTGAAATTTAGTGCAGATAGCTCCTGTAACACAGGAACTAATGCTGAAAATTTCTGAGCGTGGCAGACAACTATGAAGGGCAGCTGCGTGTGACAATAACTTTGACATCCTTCTATGTCTCATACACGGGCACGCGCAATTCGACTAACTTCGCAACCATCAAGAATGTCGAAATCCTCTGGGCATTGCCCACGACATTACTTGGGCAGACATTCGTCGTGTAAAACAATCCCGCTCCCACTCATGCAAGAACATATGAAATTTCGTAACTCCGCAGCCAAAGCAGCTAGAATGCTGAAATTCTCTAAGCACAGCCCAGAATAGTGTTGTGGGAATCCTGATGATAATTGTGACAACGAGGAAGCTATTTTCAACTTGTCTAGCTGGAAGTGCCTGCGGGGGAAAAGTGTCAATTAGTAACAAATATTTGCCGAGAAAAGTGAACAAAAAACGCCTGCTCCCACCGGCAAGGTTGGTGGATAGTTATCTAGTTTTATCCCTCATTTCTCTTGTTTTTATGATTATTTCAAACTCACAATCGCGGGAACGCTGTGGAGAAGGTTTCTGATCCGGGCCGCAATAAGTTAATGCCGTGTCTTCGTCTGAATCAAGTCTTCGCAATTCTACCTGAACAGAAACTCATGTACAAGTCTGTGTTGGCATTTTAAAATTTGGGAACTTTTTTCCAGTCTTGTATTTTTAAAACAGTTAATAGCAAAGCTGCTTGTGTACAAATAATCAGAAAAAATTACCCACTGTACAGCACCAAATTGTTCTAGATCATTCATGTCGGGTGGAAGATCTTTCACGTAACCACCACCACGACAAAAATCTTTCCAGTTCTTGTCCTGCGAAACATAGTCCACTTCTCGGATACCTGAAGCCATGCGATGAGGTGGTAAAAAAAATTTCTGCGAAGAAAATGTATAATGGACTAAAATTTTTCAAAAAGAAAAATTGGCCAACGCACGGGCTGCCCGTGCGAAGATGCGTTTTTTGCATGGTTCCCCGTAGT